TTTTTTTTTTTTTTTTTTTTTACATTTTAGACATTGAGAAGGCCAAAACGAATGGAGGTCTTCGAAGCCCAGAGAGTCAGAAGTAAGCAACAGCCGGAATGACGGCGCGCTTGTAGGGCGGCAAGGTGGAGCAGCAAAACAGCCGATGTAACAGCGCGTCAACTCACCTCCTCACCCCGTCACCGTGCCGCTTCTCCCCTTCAGGAAAGGCCCTAATAAACCCCTCCCCAGTGATGCCCCCAACCAAAGGTGAGTTGTAAAAAAGAGCACCTCCCAGCAACGGCAAAAGAAGTTTTCTAATTGCCCTTTTCCATCAATAGGCATTATAACTTACTAACCGCTACACAAGTCACCCCCATTACACATACCGGTTCACCCAACACATGCTCCCCCAGCGAGGAAGACAACCACCAGAAGCTACTAAAGGAAGTCGCATCCCTACGGGGAGAAAACGAACTTTTAAAAAAAAGAATAAAAAAGTTCGCGAAATTTAATTCTATGGCTTGATTGTCCAATTGTTTTGCTTGTTTTGTCTCCATCTGTGCGTGTGTGTGTGTGTTCGGCCAAAATACCACGCGAAAATATGCGTGTGCGATTGTGGTCATTTCAGCGGAGAAGAGGGGGATAAGTGTAAACCTGTAATTAGATGCTCCCCCTTTTTTTTCTGCCCTCCCAATGTTACCTTTTGTGCTGTGTGAGGGGGGATGGAGAAAAGGTTTACGCCGTTGGTGTCCTGCTCCAAAGACACACACACGTATACACACACGCACGCACGCACACGTGCATCCTGTATCCTCCACCCTTGCACCGATTCTTCCTTTTAGATTCTCAAATTTCAAACTTTGTTCGTTCATTCATATAAGTGTTTGTTGTTGATTCGGAAAACGGACAGAGAGGTGTGTGGGGGGCCCGTTTTAAATGGGAAAAAAAGGAGGCGGCAAAAAAGGAAGTGACGAATTGGGAAGTAGCGAACGGGAAGCGCACCGTTATATATACATGCAGGTGGACCCCGTGTGCTACACTTTCCAAGGGCCACGTTAAGGCAGTCGGGTTTTCCTTATATATTTCGTATTAGTTTCTTCTCCCGCTTGTATTTTTTCCTCTTTTTTTTTTTTTTTTTTTTTTTTTTTTTTTTTTTTCCTTTTTCGCCACGAATGGGACATAGGGAGCACGCACACAGGGGGTGGTGCTCGGGTTGATAATTTACATTTAAAATGAAGCGGAAAAACAGAGAGAAGCGGAAAGGTGTATATATATATATATATAAAGCAAGGCAGAGTATAAATATATGGGCAGATAAATCAAGGGAAGGTATTATATAAACCGTGGCCGGGGAGGGGGCAGCACCTCTGCTTGCGCACACGTGATTGAATTAATAAGGTGTTAATTATTGCGACTAGGCTGGGCGCGCGTAGGCTAATCGCGAGTAGGCTACTCGCGGATAGGCTCGGCTGGTCCACTCTCCACACCGATCACCTAATAGTTGCACATCTTGACCAGCATATCCCGGAACTCCTTAAAGTCGATTTCCCCATCGTTGTTCTGGTCCACCTCCTTCAGAACAGTCTTCCAGCATTCGGACCCCACGTCGCTGAGCCCGAACAGCTGCGCCAACTCATTGGCCGATATTTTTCCCGAGCCGTCTTTGTCAAACAGTTTGAATGCCTTCTCCAGACGTTCAGTCGACAAAAGTAATTTCCTGTCAATAGACACTGTTAAGAATTCAGAGTATTCTATGTAGCCATTTTGATCTAAGTCAATGGAGCTCAAAATTTGATCCACCTCATATTCAATAGCTGCATTATCTAAGTCGCTTGTATCTTCTCCTTTCAGTTTCAATAATTCCTTGTATCCTATTATTAATTCATTTCGATCTAGCTGACCATCTCCATTTTTATCCATTCGTTTAAATATTTTGGTGAGTTCTTTTGTCTCATCTATGGTTGTAAGCTTTGATCCCATGTACAGCAGAGCTGCCTGTGCTAACTTTTGAATGCTTTGAAATTGTCTTATGTTTGTGATGCTGAGCTCGAGGGAGGGAATGTCGATGCTCACATTGTCCTTACTCGTCATGAGCCTTATCCACTCATGCTCCAGTGCGTCTCTAGCGGAAATTCTCACTGCACTTGTGTACATGAGCATTTTTCGAATTAGGTCCTTTGCCTTGTCACTTATCTTTTTAAACTGGGGAAGGTCGAACGTATACTTGCCCGTCTCCACTTTCTTCAAAATGTCGTATTCGTTCGATCCGTTGAACGGCGGGCATCCTGCGGGGAAGCGGTGAAAAGATGCAGCGGTGAAGGGGTAAAGCGGTGAAGGGGTAAAGCGGTGAAGGGGTAAAGCGGTGAAGGGGT